GTAATTATAATCCCTGTTGTTCCAACTTTATTTCTCAGAGTTATTTAGAGGATAAAATAAAACAATGGAAATGATATTGAGATAAAGATCCAAATCTGTGTCTTAATAGAGTTACTTTTTTTTTTTTTTTTGACAGGCAGAGTGGACAGTGAGAGAGAGAGACAGAGAGAAAGGTCTTCCTTTGCCGTTGGTTCACCCTCCAATGGCCGCCGCGGCCAGTGCGCTGCGGCCGGCGCACCGCGCTGATCCGATGGCAGGAGCCAGGAGCCAGGTGCTTTTCCTGGTCTCCCATGGGGTGCAGGGCCCAAGCACCTGGGCCATCCTCCACTGCACTCCCTGGCCACAGCAGAGAGCTGGCCTGGAAGGGGGGCAACCGGGACAGAATCCGGCGCCCCGACCGGGACTAGAACCCGGTGTGCCGGCACCGCTAGGTGGAGGATTAGCCTAGTGAGCCGCGGCGCCGGCCCTTAATAGAGTTACTTTGACCAACAATTCCACTTCTAAAAATCTCTCTACAGAAAAAATTAGGAAAATGAGTAATAATTTCTAGAAAGAAGTATTCACTGTGGTTTAATTTATGGTAAATAATAATAATAGAAAAACAACTTAAAATGAAAAACACCTCTGTTTCTGAAGACAGTAACACCATTAAGGAATTTGTCCTATGACCAATCTATAGGATGGAATATAATGTAGTTTTAAAAGTCTCAGCACTTTTGTAAGTACTTTTTCCAAGTGATAACGCACATTCTATGCATATGACCTTAACTTTTTTATTTATTTATTTTTTTATTTGACAGGTAGAGTCATAGACAGAGAGAGAGACAGAGAGAAAGGTCTTCCTTCTGTTGGTCCACTCCCCAAATGGCCACCATGGCCAGCGCTGTGCTGATCCAAAGCCAGGAGCCAGGTGCTTTTTCTGGTCTCCCATGGGGTGCAGGGCCCAAGCACCTGGGCCATCCTCCACTGCACTCCCTGGCCACAGCAGAGAGCTGGCCTGGAAGAAGGGCAACCGGGACAGAATCCGGCGCCCCAACCGGGACTAGAACCTGGTGTGCCGGCGCCACTAGGCGGAGGATTAGCCTAGTGAGCCGCGGCGCCGGCAACAGTAGTAGTTTCTGAGTAGATGAGATGTCAGTTAGTTTAAAAATTATTTTTTTAAAGATTTATTTATTTATTTGAAAGTCAGAGTTACACACAGAGAGAAGGAGAGGCAGAGGCAGAGAGAAAGAGAGAGAGAGGTCTTCCATCCGCTGGTTCACTCCCCAATTGGCCACAATGGCCAGAGCTGTGCTGATCTGAAGCCAGGAGCCAGGAGCCAGGGGCTTCTTCCAGGTCTCTCAGGGACCCAAGGGCTTGGGCCATCTTCTAGTGCTTTCTCAGGTCACAGCAGAGAGCTGGATCGGAAATGGAGCAGCCAGGTTTAGAACCAATGCCCATATGGGATGCCAGCACTGCAGGCGACGGCTTTACCTGCTGTGCCACAGCACTGACCCCTAAAAAATTATTTTTAAAATTTATTTATTTTGAAAGAGTTACAGAGAAGGAGAGACAGAGAAAGAGCAAGGTCTTCCATCTTCTGGTTTACTCCCCAGATAGCCACAACAGGAACTAGGAGCTTCATTTGGGTCTCTCACATGGGTGCAGAAGCCCAAACACTTTGAGCCATCTTCTCCTTTCCAGGCGTGTTAGCAGGGAGCTGGATCAGAAGTGGAGTAGCCGGGACTTAAACCAGCATCCATATGGGATGCCAGTGTTGCAGGAGGTGCCTTTACTTATGCCACAACTCTGCTTCCTCCCCTCCCAATGCACAAATTTTTTAAAGTTCCCTACTAATGTGCCCGAGAAAGCAGCAGAAAATGGCCAAAGTGTTTGGGAGCCTGCTACCCACATTAGAGATCCAGATGAAGTTCTAGGCTTCTGATTTTAGGCTCGACCAACCTCAGCTGTTGCGGCCATTTGGGGAGTGAACCAGTGGATGAAGATCTCACTCTTACTATCTGTCTCCCTGTTTCTCTGTAACTTTAGATAAATATATAAATTTATTGATAAATCTTGAAAATTTTATATTTTAATTTTGTATACTAAATTTTTATACAATTTAGAAGTTGATATAATGAGTATATGCTTTCTTTTTATTTTTTAAAAAGATTTATTTATTTATTTGAAAATCAGAGTTACACAGAGAGAGAAGGAGAGGCAGAGAGAGAGAGAGGTCTTCCATCCACTGGTTCACTCCCCAATTGGCCACAACAGCCGGAGCTGCGCCGATCCGAAGCCAGGAGCCAGGAGCTTCCTCTGAGTCTTCCCATGAGGGTGCAGGAGCCCAGTGACTTGGGCCATCTTCTGCTGCCTTCCCAGGGCATATCAGAGAGATGGACCAGAAGTGGAACAGCTGGGACTCCAACTGGTACCCATACGGGATGCTGGCACTGCAGGCGGCAGTTTTACCTGCTGTGCCACAGCACCGGCCCCAGTATATATACTTTCATAATGGACATTTTTTCTTATAAAGAAGGAAGACTGGCTACAGAGTGGAGAATGGTGTGAATAGAGTGGTTGTGGTGGCTTTTCTTACTTTGGCTAGAAAAAGTGTAATTCCTTTGAGCTTTGAAACCTTTGTTCTTGAAACGGACTGCATCTTGGGTCATGAAAAAGTGAAAAGTGGGGCTATGAGACAGTGTTAGCAGACAATGGCACTCTTCCCTCCATCCTCACTGTCTTCCTGCTGCGGACAAATGCTACACTTCAGTCTCCAAGTACCATGTGCATGGTTCACACCTGCTGAGGGAGCTTTGTCAGGGGGCAGACAGATATAAGGACAAGGGGGGAGCTGAGGATCAGTGATGAAAGCTTAGAGCTGGAAGCAAACAGGAAACAGAAGAGAGGCCACAGGAGGCTTGTGGTGATAGGTCAATAGATTTAGGGAAGTTTTGTCAAAGGACTGTTAATAATCCTCCATGTTCCTCTGGCTTTTCTTCAAGAGGGCTTTAACACTTCTGCATTCATCAGCTTCTTGTCCTTACAGTTCAACTGAGAGGCCCATGGAGCCAAATCCACCAGTCTCACTCCTCTTCTTTCCCTTTGAGGATAACAGCAGAAATTTCTAAGGAGGGTGACAACCCAGACATCTCTCACATTAGGACTGTCTTCCCACCTCCTCCGACCAATCACCCAGTGCATCTCAGCACCCAGTACTGAGCTCAAGGAGAGGTTTCAGGGGGAGAAGCAGAGGATCTGAGGTGTCCAAGATGTAGAAGAAGCAATTAAAGACTGGGCTCTGGGGTTCAGACTCGAAGCATTCTAGGAGAGGAGAGGGTGGTGACAGGTCTGAGAGGGCTGAAGTCCGGGGGTGGGGCGCGGGGCAATGCTGGCACATAATAAATATTTAGGGAATGAATGAATGAATGAATGTACAAGTAGATAAAGGATCTGAGCTTGGAAGGATTTGGAATAGTAGGGACTTATGTCCAGACCTCTGTGAATTTACCAGTTTGTAAATCTCAGTCGTTGTTGTCTAATTTGAGCCGTACAGGAGCCCCGTGAGAAAAGCAGGGCAGAAATTGTTCCCCCCTTTTCCCAGATGGGAGATTGAGGCCCCAGAGTGATGAAGTGACTTTTATTAATTCAGCACACGTTTATTGAGCGCTGTTATGTGCTTGGGTTTGTACTAGAAGCCAGGCATGCAGAAATGAAGTACGTTAAGTCCCAGATGCTCAGTCTAAATGAGAAGCCAGGGTAGTAAACAATTCTGAAATGACACGAGTGCCCTCAGAATGTTCTGGGAGCACAGCAGCAGGAGCGCGTGCCTCTACCAGGCACGGGGAAGGAGACGCTTGCTCTGGGCCTCCATGGATGACAGGGGTTTGTTAGGAGGAAAGAGCATTCTAGGCAGAAAGAATAAGTGTACAAATTGTCAAAGGCAAGAAATAATAGGGCATATTTGGAGTAAAGTGTGTGGTTTGATATAAAGATACCACAGGTCAGTGAGGAGAAATGTTGGGGCAAAGACTATGAGAGTTGGTTCTTTGGTTAGTTGGTTAGTTTGGTTGTGTAGTTAGTTTGGTTAGTTGGTTCTTTGTCAAGTTGAACAGTTTGAGCTTGTTCTTTACAGCTATGGGGAGCTATAAAACTTTTAAAAAGATTTATTTATTTGAAAGAAGAGACAGTGAACCTATATCACTGGTTCACTCTCCAAATGGCTGCAATGGCTGGGACTGGGCCAGACTGAAACCAGGAGCCTGGAACTCCATCTGGGTCTCCCATGTGGTTGGAAGGGGTCCAAGTACTTGGGCCATTTTCTGCTGGTTTTCCAAGTACATTAGCAGAGAGCTGGATCAGAAGCAGAGCAGTTAGAACTTGAACTGCCTCTAATACACGATGCCAGCATTATAGGTGGTAGCTTACCCAATGCACCACAATGTTGGTCCCTGTGTAAAAGTTTTTTAAACCAGGGAACTAATAGCCCTTATACTGAGCCCTTCCTGAAATGTTCATGTGTTTGCTATTTGAAGCTTTAAAAAAAATCAGCTGAGCAACTGCCTGCTGCCAGAGATTCTCGTTGTCCATCATACCTCTAGATTGGGTTAGAAGCTTCCCAAGGACTTCCTCAACCAGGGCTTCCCTCTGTCTTATCGCTTACCTACTGCTTTGTTACTCTGTGTTTGCCTGCTCTTTTATTCTCATCTGTGAACACCCAGAGGTCAGACGCCAGGTCTGATTCATATTTGTATTCTCCATGCCCAGTACAGGGCTTGATCTGGAGCAACATGCTCTGTAAATATTTGCTTCAGCAATGAATGAGAGGAGCTGGCTTCCGCCCCCATCCTAAAACAACATTGGGGCAGGTGCAGTAATGGAGTGATGCTGACTAGTGTGCATTTCCTCTGTGATGCTGGAGTGGGGACTGATTGTGTGGATGGTAGGGTGACCATTAGAGGTTGGTGACTCAAGAAGACACTGGAAGTGTGTTCCTGAATGACTGTATGTTTCTCTTGCAGATGGCTTCAGTGACTGATGGTAAAACTGGGGTCAAAGATGCCTCTGACCAGAATTTTGATTATATGTTCAAACTGCTCATCATTGGCAACAGCAGCGTTGGCAAGACCTCCTTCCTCTTCCGCTATGCCGATGACACCTTCACCCCAGCCTTTGTCAGCACCGTGGGCATCGACTTCAAGGTGAAGACAGTCTACCGTCATGAGAAACGAGTGAAGCTGCAGATATGGGTGAGTCCTGGGCATCTTGGACGGGGCTGTCCTGAGAGGTTACTAGTCTGCCAGTACAAGGCCCGAGAGGTAAGGCCAGCTTGGAACTCCTGGATCTTACAGCATTGTCAGCACTACTGCTGTTTCGTGTCTGGCCCCTGGGCTGCCCTGTGCTGGTTTTATACATGTTTTCTCTCCTCTGAGGGTTCAGTTGCACCTGCTGCTTAACTATTCAGGAGGCTTTATCCTGACTTACATAAATGAGTGACCAAGGAACTGGGCTTTGGTATTAGACACCTGGGTTCATATTTCTATTTCTTCCATTTTCTAGCCATGGAAACTTGACTAAATTACTTAACTTCCCTGGCCCACACTTTCTTCTTCTGTTTTAAAGATTTATTTGTTTATTTGAAAGGCAGAGGGGTTCGTGTTGTGGTGCAGTGGGTTAAGTTGCCACCTGCGGCCCTGGCATCCCATTTGACTGCCAGTTCAAGTCCCGGATGCTCCGCTTCCAATCCAGCTCCCTGCAAATGGGCCTGGGAAAGCAGAAGATGGCCTAAGTGCTTGGGCCTGTGCTACCCACCTGGAAGACCCAGAAGTTTCAGCTCCTGGCTTTGACACAATCCAGCTCTGGTCATTGAGGCCATGTAGGGATGGAAAATTCAGTCATATTCTCCCCTTCCCTGTTACTCTCTGCCTTTCAAATAGATATATACATAGATCTTTTAAAAAATGCAGAATGATGGGGTGGAGTGGGGCAGAAGAAAAAAAGAAAGATAAATCTATCTTCCATCCACTGGTTCACTCCCCAAATGCCCACAACAGCTGGAGTTAGGCCAGGCTGAAACTGGGAGCCAAAAACTCCATCCAAGTTTCCCAGATGGGTGGCAGGAACCCAGGTACCTGGGTCATAATCCACTGCCTCCCAGACACATTAGTAGAAGGCTTGGTTGGAAGTACAAAGTAGCTGGGACTTGAACTAGACACTCCAATATGGGATTTGGACATCCTATGTCACAGCTTAACCCACTGTGTCACAATGGTCACCCCTCTTTCTTCTTTGAGAATTATAGTAGCATCTACATCATAGAGATTTTGGACATTAGCACCTTTCCTAGAGCAGAGCAAATGCACAATAATTATTAGCTTCTGTGTGAATCATGGCAAATTACTTCAAAACTTGGTGGCGTGAAACAACAGTGGTAATTCAGTATTATTTCACAGTTTCTGTGGGTAAAAAATTTGAGGTGGCTTGGGGTCACGCACAGGTTGGTGTGGGTTGCAGTCATCTGAAGGATGTGCTGGATGTTATTAGCAGAAGGCCTTACTTTCTCCTCATTTGGTCTTCTGAGAGCATCTTCACTCCATCACAGATAGCTTTCCAGAGTGAGAGATCTCAGAAATCAAAGGGAAATGGCAGTGTCTCTTATGACTTAGCCTCAGAAGGTCCTATTGGTTACTCCATCAAGATACAGATACTGAGAAGAAAGGACCATTAGGGAGTGTCTTGGAAGTTGACCAGCACAACTACTACTACTGGTATTTTTCATTGATGCTAAGAAAATATGTCTGCATTTTGGATGATATATCAACATGTAGATCATATACCTTTCAATAATGAATTTGTACTGGGATTGTAAATGTTGAAAATTTGTGATTTCTCTGTTCAGAACAAGTATTATTTATTTTCTATCCATTTTACTCATTAAATACACATTAATAGATTGTACATATATCTTATTGGGACAATTTTGAGAGGGATAGAGACAAAAACAGAGGTCAATAGAGAGTGACCTCCCATCTGCTGGTTCACTCCCCAAATGCCTGGCACAGCTCAGGCTGGGCAAGAGCTCAGCTTGAAGCTGGGAATGCAATCTAGGTCTCATATAAGTGGGAGGTATCCAGTTACATGAGCCAATACCTGTAGCCTCCCAGGACATGCATTAGCAAGAAGCTGGATTCAGGAGCTGGAGACAGGTATTAAACTCAAGTACTCCAAAATGGGATGTGAATGTCTTAATTGGTGTCTAAACTGCTATGCTACATACTTTCTCCTTCTCATATATTAACACCTCACAATTAACACTATGAGATAGATATTATTATCTTTTTTTGAGAGACAGAAATCTTCCCAGATGCCTGCAAATGGCCTTGGAACAAGCCAAGAATTCAATCCAGGTCTCCCATGCAAGTGGAAGGGACTCAGTTACTTCAGTCATCTTCTGCTGCCTCCCAGCGTGTGCATGAGCAGGAAGCTGGGACTGGGAACAGAGCTGGGGACTCAGTTCCAGGCATATGATGTGGGATGTGGGTGTTCTGAGTGGTGTTTAGACGCAAAGCCAAACACTCACCTGATAGATACTATTTTGACATACCTCTGTTTTACAGAACAAATTGACACTCACTTCTGAGTCAACTAGATAGCTATAAAGTAGAATTCAGATTCAGATCTTTTTTTTTTTTTTTGCTGTGCTCCATATACATATGTGTGTATATATATATATATATATATAATCATCCTTCCCACTCTACCCTCCCTTCCGCCCACGCACCACACCTTCCTCCTCCCTCTCCCATTCTCTCTCTTGATTTTTACAAAGATCTATTTTTAGTTTACTTAATGATCATAAGGTTAACTCTACACTAAGTAAAAGAGTTCAACAAATGGTATGAAGAAAAAAAACACTGTTCCTCAACAGAAGAGACAAAGGCTGTAACAGTCATTGAATCTCAAAATGTCCATTTCACTCCAGTATATTACATTTTAGGTACTCTATTAGTTACCTCAGATCAGGGAAAACATATAGTATCTGTCTTTTTGGGATCAGATCTTCTGATTCTAAATTATGTACTCTTTCCTCTACATTATGTATTTGAGGTCTTATAAAACTCATATCTCCATTTATGATCATGTTAAATATTTATATAGAGGTAATTTACATAGATTAATTTATATGGAGATAGTCATTTTGTTCTTTTACTCTCTATTAAGGACATTGAGGAATCGTAAATCATTGCAGGTCCTCTAGTTCATTGGTTCTCAAAGTGTGGGCTCCAGAACAAGCCCATCAGCATCACTTGGGAATCTGTTAGAAATGCGAATTCTTGGCCGGCACCACGGCTCACTAGGCTAATCATCCACCAGCGGTGCTGGCACCCCAGGTTCTGGTCTCAGTTGGGGCGCCGGATTCTGTCCCGGTTGCTCCTCTTCCAGTCCAGCTCTCCACTGTGGGCTAGGAGGGCAGTGGAGGATGGCCCAAGTGCTTGGGCCCTGCACCCGCATGGGAGACCAGGAGGGAGCACCTGGCTCCTGGTTTCGGATTAAAAAAAAAAAAAGAAAGAAATGCGAATTCTCATGCCCCACCTCAGATCTACTGAATTAGAAATTCTGGGGTTGAGGGTCCAACAATCTGCGTTGTACCTGGTTTTGTTGGAGAACCACTGATCGAGTTTAGCTGTCATGGTGAGCAGCAGTAACCATTCACTCACCTAGTGTGTTCCAGTGCTTTCATTTGTGTTGTCTGACATCAGCCTTGCAACCAGTGCACAGAGGGGTGTGAGAACATGGTATCTGGGGCACAGGGAGTGGAACTGAATCAGGGCTGTGAAAGAACAGGAAGGGGGAGCTCAGAGGGAGATTTGCCATAGAGACTGCAGGCAGCAGACTGGGGCTCAGGGGGAACTTGCACAAGAAACAAAAGGTTCTTGTCGTTACCCATAGCGTATATGTCTGGTGATTCCTTAGGGAGCTGAGGAAATTAATAGAGCTTGTTTTTATTTATGAATATAAAATGTTTTACTGTGTGGATTGACACAGATGTTTTCATTCAAGCCCTGTATTGGAAGCCCATATATCTTACACTTGAAAAATCTCGAGGGGGCGGCCAGCATGGTTGCATGGCAGGTGAAGCCATGGCCTGTGGTGCTGGCATCCATCATATGGGTGCTGGTTTGAGTTCTTGCAAATCTGCTTCCAGTCTGGCTCCCTGCTAATGCACCTAGGAAAGCAGCAGAAGATGGCCCAAGTGCTTGGGCCTCTGCACCCATGTGGGAGACCTAGAAGAAGCTCCTGGCTCCCAAGTTCAGCCTGGCCCAGCCCTGGCTGTGGTGGCCATTTAGGGAGTCAACCAGTGGATGGATGGAGGACCTCTCTTTCTCTCTCTGGTTCTCCCCCTATCTCTGTAATTCTGCCTTTCAAATAAATAAAATGAATAATAATAATAAAAAAAAATCTTGAACCGGAGGAGCCATTCTGCCTTTCCAGGTGCTTGGCAGTGATGGCTCCCTCACTCTTTGTGTGTTTTCAGCCTATTTTGAGCTTTTGTGGCTTTCCTGTGCCTGGTTATGTGGATTCATTGATTATACTATCTAGTTTTAGCTAAGTGAAAACTCACAATGAATATGTGGCTTTTCAAGTCTTTTTATTATTATTATTATTTTTGACAGACAGAGTTAGACAGTGAGAGAGAGAAATAGAGAGAAAGGTCTTCCTTCCATTGGTTTACCCCTCAACTGGCCGCCACAGCCGGCACGCTGCACCAATCCGAAGCCAGGAGCCAGGTGCTTCTCCTGGTCTCCCATGCGGGTACAGGGCCCAAGCACTTGGGCCATCCTCCACTGCCTTCCCTTCCCAGGCCACAGCAGAGAGCTGGACTGGAAGAGGAGTGATCGGGACAGAATCCAGCACCCCGACCAGGACTAGAACCCGGGGTGCTGGCGCCCCAGGCAGAGGATTAGCCTAGTGAGCCATGGCACCAGCCAATATATGGCTTTTAATAAGTCCTATAAAGGACCCTTTGGTTGAAGACCATATTAATTATAGTGAACCCAAGTGAGCATAATAAAATGGCTGAATTGATGTTTTTCCAATGATTAGCACAAGTTCACTGTTAGCTGCACTTTAAGATAAAATCAATGATGATCTAATTAGATTTGAATTAATCAGGATGCTTTTGCTAAAAAAAAAAAATGACAAAACAAAGTGTTTTCATGTGTATACATGTATACTTCAATATACCAAA